AAACACTTTAATTTATATAATTTCAGTTCCCAGAATTCTTTAGCCAACATGCTGGATGGGGAAATCTGAGAGTTGGAGTCCACAGACCTTAAAAAGTTGCTGAATTTGAGAAACCCTGGACTAGGGAAAGAGACAAGAAGAATACATCACTTAAAGGGTGTCCATGATTATCATCATCTTGAAAGAAGATAATGCCTGGGTACAACTACAACGATCTGTGCAAAGACTTACCTGAAACTAAAGGGCCGTACTCTCACAGCCACAGTCACTTTACTATTTTCTATTTTCAAAGGATTGTCTTTAAAGGGCACGTTCTGCTTCATGCTGTCTTCTTTAACTGAAGCAGCTGGTTGAGCATATGTGGTATTTTCTTGGATCTTTCCCATTTTGCTTGGAGTGAATGCACCACAGCTTTCCTTTTGTGAGACTTGAAAGCAAGCCATCCTACTTTTTAAGGCAGAAGTGGCAGGAGTCTTGGCATACTGAACAGTCGATTTAAATACTTCTGCTGTATTTTTCCTTGGTGTCTTCTGCCTTTCCAAATATTCATTTTTAGTAACATTATTCTGCCGGTTTTCCATACCATTTGATTTACTGAACTTTCCAGATGTTTTTAATGCTGATATCTTACCATTAGGAGTAGTTGTGGTTAAGAGTAACAATCGAGAAATCTCATTTTGATTTTTAGAAGTAGCAGGCGTCCTGGGTTTTATGGGTGTGACATTCCCAGTAACATTACTATAATTTGTCTTCCCAGTAGCCTTAATAAGTAAAATATCACTGTTATTGCCTTTGGATGAAAATGGAGCATTATTACCTTTCAGTGGCAAGTATCCAGCATTTTCTGTTTTAGGTTCATAAATATTATTTGTCCTAGATTTCTCAGTTGATCTAGTTACAATTCGGGGCTGGAGGGTTAATCTTTCTTCCACTAGTGTACTATCACTGCCATGGATTTTATCTATATTGGATTCTCCTTTCCTCATTGCTCTTCCTCTTTGGAGGGTCATCTTGATTTCTGATGTATATGCAGGTAAAGCACTGGACAATTTGTTACAGGCAGAAACCACATAGGTTCTATTTATTTCTTTAGTCTTACTCAAAGGATGTAAAAGTGAACTGGTTCTCTCATATTCTAATACATGTGGTTTTAATTGTTGTCCAAATCCAGATGTTGAAGAGACATTTCCTGAGGGTTGTTTTTGTGAAGATCCATCAAGCTCACTAACGTGGCTTTTCTTAGGAATAGAAACAATAGACATTAAGACTAAATACTACTAACTCCAACTGTAGAACTGTAATTATCTCTATATAAGGTCTGCCTGAAAAAAAGAATTGGCATCTAATCTCACTTTCTTTATAATGTAAACAAAAGATGTCATGATGGCATCTGTAAAAAAACAAAAAAACATTGTTATTTTCAGGTGAAAAAAAATCAAAAATAAAGTGTGAGGATTGTAGGTGGTAGCAATCAAATAACTAATAATTCTAGCTTATAAATACCTCTTAAATTTCAAATAAGACTGCACTGCTAGAGAGGGCTTATTACTGGTGGCATTTGTTTCTGACTAAATCATATTTATCATCTATTTTACAATATTTATAATCTTCCTTATTCCTAACATATTCAAATAGGGTACAACAAAGCTAAAGCAAAGAAAATTATAAAGCATATGCAATTAACATATTGCAATTTATGAGCATAACTGAACCCAGAATTTCTGTTACTAAGCAAAGCAGGTGTTAAGTGGTTAACTGAGTTACACTCAATTTTACAACTTTTTTTTTTTGCTATGGTTGTTAATTGAATCATGTGGTCATTAAGCAATCCAACTTCCCACATTGACTTTGCTTGTTTGAAGATGGCTGGGACAGTTGCAAATGGTAATCACATGACCCCAGGACACCAGTTACCCAAGCACTCAAATTTTGATCACATGGCCATGGGGAAATTGCTATGGTTAAAAGTCACTTTTTTCATTATTGCTATAACTTCAATTACTAAATGAATGGCGGTATAAGTGAAGGACTACCTATAATATCTTTTTCTCAAAAATCAAGGATAAAATTAAACTACTGTAAGCTAATGTCCAAATTCACAGTGGAATAAGATTTGGAACCCACTTACAAAATGTATCAAAGACAGGAATCTCTCTTCTTCCAGAGAAAGGATACTCCACAAAATGAGAGTTTCTACTGAAAAAGTATACAGCAGACTGAGATGTAAATGGGATATAAAAATCAAACTTTCAATCTGCTTTTCTTTAAAAATGAAGAAACGTGAAAATCATTTTTACCTCTTAAAACACAGTACTTCAGAATAGTGAATTCATTACAATATAGCAGCAAATGATACATTGATGGATTGCATGGAAAGGGGAGTTTCTGCAAATCAGGCTTATAAAACTACTGTACAATTATGAAAGTTGTACAAACCCCATCTTTTGATCTCAATCAATCTGTTATTGATATTGTTTTTGAAAAGGCCTGAATGCTTGATCCACGATCATAAAGTTGGTATCAAATTATAATTCCTTAAAATTCACTAAGAAAAAAAAAACACCTGACAGTGTTTTCAAATTAAAGAAATCCTTCCTGAAGGGACTAAAAAAAATGTTTTTCAAACTTAGCAACTTTAAGATGGGTGAACTTCAATTCCCAGAATTCCCTAGCCAGCATGTGGACTGGGGAATTCTGGGAGTTGAAGTCCACACATCTTAGTTGCCAACTTTGAAAAACTCTGAACTGGAACAAGGATAGGCACTTCTGAATCTCCGGATGTTGTTAGCCTACAACTCCCACCATCTGTAGGGAGTACGGACGATGGCATTTGCACTAAAATTGCATTGAGATATTTGGGAACTCTCCAGTTCCTAAACCCGGCATTAGAAGAAACAATAACGGGGCTTCGTTTTCTCTTTAAAGTATTTCTCGCATGCCAAAAAAAAAAAAAAAGCGTGCTTCAAAACAGACCCAATTAAAGAAGCGGCGGGCTATAGAAATCTAGCAAGTCAATAAACAATCCCTCGAGTAAAGAAGGGGAAGGCACGTCCAGAAGTGATTTTTTTCGCGCGTTACTGCTTACCTGCCCTTCGACATTAAACCAACAGACTACCATTTCAGCTGCACCTCCGACTCTCTTTTTCGAATGCGCCGCGATGCTTGCTATTGGTGGAGAGGTTGCATGACATCACACGCGGCTCCGAAAGCGGAGACGACCTGACGTAGTCAAAGAATCACTGCTCGGGCGCTATAGCGACACCTCTGGTTCTGAAGTGAACATTTCCCGTTGCTGGCAACCGAGACTAAATGCTAAATGAGTCGAGTACCTGAGCGTGGTACTTGAATGCTTTTCTCTCTTCCCCATTTTAATGGGAAGATCCCTAAAGGGAGCCGGCTGAAAAATTACAGGAACTGCTTCAGGGTGGCTTTTCTATTCTTTTAACTTTCAACGGTAAAACTAAATAAAATTGCTGCTTGTGCCAGAAATCTCAATAATAAAAATCACTCTTTTCTATGTACATAAGAGAAAGCTGCAACTGCGAAATGGACATCCCAAACTTTATTTCAGATGTTTGGAAATGTAGAAAACTAGCATATGGTCGAAGAGAAAAATATTAATTTCTTTAAATCTCCATATGAATAGGGGTGTGTGTGTGTACAGAATTAATAACAATAAATTATTTGATATCTTTAAGAGTCCCTTGGAAGATAACATAAAATGTATTATACCTTAAATTGGTATGTGTGTATGCGTTTAAATTTCATTTCCTGATATATTTGTTAAGTTATACAAGTTGATACCTAAGTCCAGCTATAATTGGCTTCAATTGGCCTTGTGATTGTATATCAGAGGCTAATAATTAGGTAACAGGATGGTGTCACCATTCAGGCACTCCTATCTAATGTCCAATTTTCAACAATTTTCAACTAACCCTTTCCATTCTTTTTTTCTAACATGATCTTTCACTCCTCCAAACTTGCTTGAAAGACAGATGTCTATTCTACCTATGCAGATGATGCAACAACACTTTAAAGAATGCCAAACAGTCTTTAAAAAGCACTGATGGTCCTTGCATGGCGTTGCAAAGAAATGAGCTGTAACTCAGTTATTAGAAAATTAAAATTAAGAGCATTTTAAAATGTGTTGGTTCATAAAGAGAAAATAAGTATTCTATGTTAATATCTAGGACATTTATCCAATTAAGCACATTTGTTACGGTAACTGGAGGAAGTCTACTTGTCGTCATCCTATATAAGCTCTCAGATGGCAGCTAGGTAGAATATGATCAGTAACTGCCAGGGAGCACTGCATTCATTCACATTGAGGGGAAGATACTCTGCCCCAGTTAAAGAGAGAGTCTTGGCAGATAAATTGTGAATCCTGTTCAAAGTTCTCCAGCACTGGCGGGTAGCATCAAAAACTGCTAATTTTTGGATAGGGTCAGTTATATTCTTTCTGGAGCCTGGAGGTTCACTAATCCAGTTTTCTTTCTGCCAGTTTCTGCAGTTATTGCACAACTGCTGTGCAGATATTGGAAGGGGGTGTGTTCCTGGATTTAAACCTCCCAATTGATAAGTATGGCATATCAGAATTCACCAGGTTTTAAAATGGAATTTGTAATTTAACATATAACTTATTGAATTTCTCATACCTTACAAAATTGACCATATATCTGCATATTATGTGTATCACACTATTATGTTCTTTCTATACAGCTTTACTGCTATCCATGTCTTTCATGCTAAATGCTAAACAAACAAACCAATAAATAAATATAAGAGCAGCCTTTCAAATCCCTAAGTGTCTCTAAAGCCATCTTTTAATTAGATGAAAGTAGAGCCTTGAGAGTGGCTAGCAAGAGTCAGTTATGGTCTAAATTAGCATATATTTTTTCAAATTTTTCAGTTTCCTTTTTTCACATTAAGACACTTAATTTTATAAAACTAGGACAATACAAATTTATTAAACAAAATCTAAATAAAGGGTTAGATCATGGTAGAATAAAAATATTAACTCTTTATTTGAATTTCATTAAAAAGTAAAGCAAAATAGAATGCCATTTTTCTTCTACAAATTAAAAAATGTGACAATTAAAAACTCATACAGCTTTATAACATGGGTTTTATAGACAGTTTGTTTGATGGTTGGTAGGTAGGTAGGTAGATATCACTTGAGAAGTCTATAACGCTTGAAAAGATGAAATGAAAGAGAAGAATAGAATTAGAAAGAATAGAATAGAATAGAATAGAATAGAATAGAATAGAATAGAATAGAATAGAATAGAATAGAATAGAATAGAATAGAATAGAATAGAATAGAATAGAATAGAACAGAATAGAACAATAGAACAGAATAGAACAGAATTCTTTCTTGGCCAAGTGTGATTGGACACACAAGGAATTTGTCTTTGGTGCATATGCTCTCAGTGTACATAAAAAGAAAAGATACATTCGTCAAGAATCATAAGGTACAATACTTAATGATAGTCATAGGGTACAAATAAGCAATTAAATGGATGAATAGCAACAAAATGGATTTAATTACAGCACCATTGGAAGACCTGAAGGACATGCTGGAAGTAGTCTATCTATGTGTTTGGTAAGAGTTGACACCAATTTGATTGCACAATTCAGTCAGTGTATCTCAAGTTCAAGATTTGTACTCCTTTTTTTCTTTTTAAAAGCACTCTACCTCCACTGTAATCATCAATATTCATTTTAAGCTGTTTTATACTGAGGTGAACTGTTGGGTCAGTCTCATCCAGCTTTCCCCAACTCAACTCTATGCCCTCCATAGGCCCATGCAAGTATATAATTATTTGTAATAAATAAACAATGTGCAGATGTAATCAAAAGAATTCCCAGCCAACATGAATACTGCCAAAAATCTGAGAAATTAACGTCCACCTATCTTGAAAATATCCAGACTGGGAAAGTCTGATCTAGCTCAACACTCATTATTGGCTAGATGTTGTCTTGCAAAGATTTGGTAAACTAGAAATCTCTTGCTGATATGCCTCCATTAACGATGCCTAAAATTGAAGCTCACACTACTTGTGTGTTAAATATGTATGCTGCTGCAGTTCTTCTGTACACTTGTATTACTGTTCAGTCAGGTAGCCAATAATCTTTGCATGTTTTAATGTCAAAACAAGAAACTCAATGGGTACAATTACTCATTCTAGAGATTTCTCATTACTAAATTGAATAGGTAACTAATCCAGACTCTAATGGGAGAAAAAGAATAGCTGGCTCAGAATCACGATCTTTCTGCCCCTTTTCAATTTCGGAGGCCCTTCCTGTCCAGGCAAGAAATCTGAAACATGTAAATTGAATTTATTTGCCCAATTAACTATCAGTCTGAACTGGGACTGGAAATAATTACTTGTAAGAAAAAAAGATTAATCTCCCCTGTACTATAATGGGCCTGCCCCTTAATCCTTCCTAACAGATACAACTGAATAAATAATATCTTTCAGAAGTATTTGACCAGTTTCTTGTCTCAACATCTTTTGAATTTGAACTTAAATGTACATTTTAAATAAGTTTAACACTAGCAGAGCCTTTATTTTAATCCATACTTCAGTTACTCTCTATGCTTCCTACAGTTTTTTGCTTTTCCAAGCTCTAACTAGCCACTTCAAGAAATAAATTCAGAACCAATTGCTTATTTTGCACAAAGCATTTCAGTTCACCAGGCACATCTTAAATTAGATCATGACTGCTTAAATACCACCTTTACCCTCAGATTTGGCAGGATTATTTGCTAATAAATAAATGAATATATGGAATTCTGTAATATTTGGTAACGGTGAATGAGATTTCCTGATTCCGTTTCTCTACATATATTGCACTAAACCCAGCCATTGAAAATACATATGTATTTTGCCATTTAACCTGAGGTCTAAGCCCTTAATGAAATACTGTATAAAATGACCAAAGATAAATCATTATCTCCAGTTAACAAAATTAATCTCTTGCTAAAATAGCACTCTTGATACCTCATAAGTATGGAGATGTATAAACTGTCAGCTCTCACCAAAATTAAACATCGTTTTAAATGGAAAAAAAAATATCTTGCATAACTCTCTCATTTTGAATTAATGGGGCTACAAACTTATGTTTTTATTGAAGCACATCCATAGAAATGGATTAAAATTTTGTATATAAAACAAGTTAACATAAACAAATTATATTTTTAAATATAGCCTGTTACTTTTGAGACGTACTTTTATCATGTTTTCTAATAATGTCCATAAGATTATCCCCAGTTACAAGATTACTCTGATGATCTTTGCTCCTCAATTGTTCTTTCCGCTTTTGGTCATGTAAATATGGAGAATTTAATAACTGAGGTGGAAGAATGGTGCCAGTTGGTTTAACTCGCTTTACCACATCCCAGAAAAGTCTCTTGCTGTTATTATTAATAAATGTAATTGCAGTTCCATTGTGACCCAACCGACCTGCTCTTCCAACCTAAAAAAGGAAAAGCAATGGTACTTAAAATCAACGATAAATGTTATAGGTAACTATACAGATAGACCTCGACTTGCAGCCACAATTCTAACCAAAATTTCCATTGTATGCCAGTATGATCATAAAGCAAGTCATCACACAACTGGACCTGAATATTACAACTGTTTTTATCATAAAAGTTCAAGCAAATTACTGCACCATTAACTGAATCATTGAGTTGTTAAATGAATCATTTGATAATAAAACCTGGTTTCCTCAAATGACTTTACTTGTTGGGAACTAAGTGAGGTTACAAATCGCAATCACATGACAAGACACTGCAACTGTCTTAAATGCGTGCCAGTTCTCAAGCATCTGAATTGCAATCATGTGGCAGTGGTAACTTCAAAGGCAGATCATAAGTCACTTTTCTGAAGCTGTTGTTACTTCAAACCATAATTAAACAAATGGCCATAAGTCAAGGACTCCCTGTACAATATATATATATATAATTACGAATGATTAAATTGACTAACATTTCAGTCATGGACAAAGGGACAATACAATACAGTGCAATATTTATTTGGTTAATGACCAGCAAAATTTAAAAAACAAAAACAGTGTAACAAATAGATACAATAATACTAAGCAACTAACAAAATAAATCACGTTTTCAAGTTTTATGATCACGTAAGCTACTTCAGGGTTTTTTTGCCAGAGTAATTGACACATCACAAAACAATGTTGCTCACTGTATTTTAATTAGCTTTAGTAAAGACATTGTTTAAATGAATGTACCCAAAAGTGCCTTTCAAAAATCAACTGGACTTTCTCAGGTTTTTTTCTTGAAAACATTCCACTTTTGCAAAATATTTTCAAGAAAAAAACTAAATCCAGTTGCCTTTTGAAAAGCACCTTTGGGACCCACTGACCTGGATGATTGAGAATCTCCATAGATATTGAAATGAATGTTGGTTCTCTTACCTGTTTCTTCAAAATGTGCTTGGAAAACTACAATTCATTGTTTATACCTATAGCATGATACAGAACATAGCTCTTTAGGCACTCTTTAAAATGTGTAACGTACTCAAGAGTGAACTTCTAATTTGAAAAGTCCTTCTTCCACAGTCCATTTTGTATCATCAAGCACTCTGTAGGACTTTTGAGCAATGAGGCTTGTTTTTTGTTGAAACATTCAATATTACACTATGCCTTTTAAATCAGAAAGTGTATTTACCTGGTGCACATATTCATCCATGCTAGATGGCATGTCAAAATTCACCACCAGCTTAATATTGACAAGGTCAAGTCCACGCCCAAGGACTCCGGTGCTTACTACAACTTCATATTTCCCTTGCAATAATCCCTAGCACAAGGAAAATATAATCATTATTTTCATAAATAGAAATATACCTTTCAAAATTAGAAAGGCAAAAAGTCTGAATACATTTCAAAGAAAACAAAAACAATAGTTAAATATTAAGGAAAAAGAAGCTTCTATGTAATTTTATAAAGTTGAAAGTATTTTACCTGTGAGACATTTCCTGTGAACTTAAATTCCCAAACCTGATTCCATAGCTGCTTTAGCCAACATGATGAATCTTCAGATATATTTTGTGATATGAAAAATAACTTTCATCTAAAAGGAAACTCACTAAGGGGTCAATCTCAAACTCTCTACCTAATAGCTATGTGTACTGTGTATAGAGGAACAGTTCTCAAATATTTTGGTCTCAAGACTGAGAACCCCAAAGAGCTTTGGTTTATAAGGGTTGTAGCTACAGTATCGATATTTAACAGATTAACAGATTAACAAAGTTGGAAGGGACCTTATAGGTCATCTAGTCCAACCCCCCCGCTCAAGCAGGAGACCCTACACCATTTCTGGCAGTCCAATCTTTTCTTGAAAGTCTCAAGTGATAAAGCTCCCACAACTTCCAAAGGCAAGCTGTTCCACTGGTTGATTGCTCTCACTGTCAGAAAGCTCCTCCTCATTTCTAGGTTGAATCTCTTCTTGGTCAGATTCCATCCATTATTCCTTGACTAGCATTCAGGTGCTTTGGAGGATTTACTATATTAGAAATTAAAACTGAGTAATTTTGAAATATTTTACTTTGCAGAACCCCAGAAGTCCTCAAACCACACTTTGGGAAACCCTGGTTTAGAGTTCTTTAACCATAGATTTAGCTAGTTTTAAAGTAGGCCCCAGATGTTTACAAACCTGTAAAATTGCAGTTCTTTCTGACTGTGATTTCTCAGCATGCATCGATGTTGTCTGTAAACCTGTGATTTTATGAACAGCATTACTCAGAAGATCAGCACCCAACTTACATTCCACAAATACCAGTACCGGAGGCTTAAAAAGTTTCTTATCCTAAAAAAGAGGAGGACAGGGAGACCACAGTGAGCATAGGGTAAAAAAAGATTAATTTATGTACCAAAAAACAAAAAAAGATAAATGGAATAGTGTGAGATTTAGTGGTGGTAAGTAAAGCAAAGAAAGTATCCAACTATTTTCCAATATTACTAAGCCTGAAGTAATAATGCTTCAAATATTTTTCGAATAGTAAAAAGAATGCAAATATCAGTAATTATTTTCTATTACTATAGTTTTTTTAAAATGCTTTTAACACCATGAGGATTCCAACCAAATCAAAAGAGATGTTTAAATTCTCACCAGCCCAAAGGTGGTGTGTTTTAGTTTCTTATGAAGGAAACATGCCACAATACAAATTCTTTTAACACTCTTATGAAAACTATGTACAGTATAGCATAGCATGATTTCTATTCAAACATAGCTAAAATGCCTTGGAGTATGGCCATAATTCTTTGAATATTAGCTGTTACTTAATTTAAATAGCTTCCACCATCACAGGTTCACACACACCTACCCGGCCCCATCCCCAAATAACACACATATATACATATACATACATACATGCAGTAATATGCAAGTCTATATAACCAACAAGATTGCTACTATCAATATTTCAGCAGAGAAATTGCCCAAGAGGAATAGATTTATGGTTTTAATGGCTACATTTCCAGGAACAAAATTGATTATAGCAATGGTTCTAGCGCATTTCCCCCCCAAATATTTATGGTTGATGAAAAGAAACAAAGACTTGTCTTTCCATGAGAGTACTAACATTTAATATTTCAAAAAGCTTTTTCTTTTTGGAAGGCTCTTCTATCCACAAAATAATCTGGCGAATATTGGAACACGGCAGATTCTTTTCTCCGACTGTAATTTTCACTGGATTCTGCAGAAGTCGGCTTGCCAGCTGTTCAATGCTTAAAGGCATTGTGGCTGACACCAAGAGGGTTTGATGATCATTGGGAATATTTTCCAAAATTTCTAACACCTGCTGCTGGAAGCCCATCTTTAACATGGTATCAACCTATTTTAAACAAAAAAAATGGATTAACTAGTGGGGTTTTTTTTGTTGAAGATGAGTGAAAACATTATTTTACATTTATTAGCAACATCTGTCTGGGCTTTCAGATCAGCACTTCCCAAACTTAACTATTTCAGTATTGTGAGAAGTTCATCTCCCAGCAATAATCATGCTAGCTGATGGTTCTGAATGTCAATGCCCATAAAGAGAGAAAGTGCAGTCTTTTAGATAGCGGTTGTAGTGGAAAATACATATTACAGTAGTGCTTCTTTGAGTAACAAAGAACCTAGCTAGGAAGTACATATTCCCAGTATCTCGAATTATGTCTCTTTTCTGCCCACTGCTTCTGTCAACAATAATTATGTTGAACAGTCCAGCATGAAACTGGACTGAAATTTGATCTATTTCAATGCCCACCAAAGTAGGTGAAAGTAACCCTTTTATATACTCAGCTGTCTCTTTGCCAAGAAAATCTTCAGTTGTAATTTGTAACTGCTGGAACATTATCTTCAAAAGTTGACAGATGAAAAGGTCATGAGATACTACTGAATTACATGTCAAGCTAAATTAATCCAAACATGCTAAAAATCTAATCATGCATAAACTACAGTATTAAAACTGTAATATTTTGCCCACCGTGGTCTACAATGCTTAGTTACCGTAAAGAAAAAGAGTCATTTAACTTCCCTCCTCAAAATAGAGGACTCATTACACTAGTGACTATCCACACATTTTTTGAAAAATAATACACACTTACCTCGTCAACAACCGCAATTTTAATATTATGAAGTTGAATAGAGGATTGCTTTAGAATTTCTCGGAGCCTTCCAGGTGTTGCTATGATTACCTAAAATAAAGGCAGGAAATACAAATAATAGAAAATAAATTCATTGTTATTACAAATTCCAACAAACTTATTAAATCAAATATCCAAGGTGAAAAAAATGTTTAAATTTGAAAAACAGGATTTTTCACAGCACATGGAATATAAAATTACTTAGATTTGCTTGGAGATGGATGTAGTGGTTCTGTGGAAGTAGTTGAGACATGGACCGAAGTGATTATCTGGGAAAAGTTTGATCCTATTACTGGAGAAAAAGGACAGATTCCTTGGACCTCTGTGTTTACCAGTATTTGAGATCCATGCCCTTCTTGGTTGGTATGTGGCTGTGTCCAAAAGTGAATACTTTTAAGAGAAAGAGTGATCCTGCCTGCATTTAAGGAAGTTGAAGAAACCATTTGGGAACCAAACTGTGATGGATAAATTCTGGCCTGTCTTCATTTTCATTTTAAGGGATGGTTGTTAAGAAGGGTGTCATGCTGCAGTTAAAAGGGCCTAGCATTGATCACATTTGTTACTGACCTATGGTAAATTTAGGTGGAAATGGTACATCAATCCTGGTTCTCCTTAATCTCTCAGAAGCCTTCAATACTATTGATCAGCGTATCTTTATGAACAAACTCAGGGGGGTGGAAATGGAGAAGAGATCTAATCCAAGACTCTTGCTTTATGTGGTAGCTGGTGCAGAGTAGAAGTATTATGTGTGAACCTATCAATGCACATACAGAACTACCTATGCTGCTGCTTTCTGGACCAGCTGAAGCTTCTGAGTGAGCACTAAAGGCAGACCCATGTAGAACACACACTGCAGTAATCCAATCACTTGATTAAAATGTGAGTAACTTTGAAGAAAACTTGCAGATCCAGGAATGGGTACAATTAGTGTACAAGATGGTGCTGTGCTAGACTCTTCAAGCCACAGCTGTTACTTAACTCTTTGAGCAAGAACCATGAGTCCTACAAGGAACTGCATTACTGTCAGCAACATTAGAGAGCAAATATCACAAAATTCTCTATGCTAAAAGGCTTTGTCTTTGTAAAGATGGAAGCAATGAATTATGGACCACCTCTTGCTTTACTGCAACTTTTATAGTATCACAATACTGTATTTTGTTTTATGAAGTTTGGGTGTTTTACTCATAACGAAGTTTTAATTTGCTGAGTGAATGAATGAATGAAGAAGGGGGGAAAAGTTAATTTTCTTTTTCCTTTATGGTCCAGCTTTGAAAATAATTATCTGATATTCTGGAACTTACCAGTAAAATAGAGACACCATTTCAATCAGGTTCTCTGACTGCATTAAATGCTCATTCAGACCTTAAGGATACAGCGTAACATGATTTACCTTAACATTTTGCTTCAGGCGATGAAGCTGGGGCGGTAAAGGCAATCCTCCAACCAGAAGAACAGTTCTCATATTTGGTAGACCAATCATGAGCTCTTTAGCTTGCTTCTCTATCTGTATAGCTAATTCTCTTGTCGGTGTCAGAATAAGAGCAGACAAAGTGTCAGCCTTAAAAAGGACAAAAAACAAATAATAGGTTACTGATTTTTTTCTTTGATTAAAAATTTCAGAAAAATAAAATGTGAGAGGGGTTAATTTATAGCAAACCAACTCAACACCATCACTACATCCATAGTTAATCTAGTGATGTCAGTGGTTATACCATGTATATCATATTGGAGCGGTATACACCACTACACCAATATTCTGCCTTAAGTGCAGAAGTGAGAGCAAGTGGAAGGAAAGGAATCATTTGAAGATGGGAAGGAAGATTTGCTTATGCTTTCATTATAATAATTATGCTTTTTTTTTAAATCCAGTCTTCAGATGTATTAACATTTAAATTGTCCAGGTATAAATTTCTTTCACAAAACATGTTCAGGTGAACATCACAAATATAATCATATATTTTAAGTGAGATGACAGAAAGACAAAACCTAATTTTTTTAAAAAAAATTATATGTAGTTTCTCTGGAAAACAACAAAGTTTGAGATCTTATGCAGAATTTCTCAAATGTTTTGGAAAGCTCTGAACAATTCTTCTCAATAAACATGGATCCTCTCAGTGAACAAAGGTTACCTCTTCTGAAGCTTTAATTATAACAGGAAGCAGGAAAGCTGCAGTTTTCCCTGAGCCGGTGTCAGCAGTTGCCACAATATCCCTGCCCTGTAACCCAACTGGAATCATCTGCATCTGGACAGGGGTTGGGACTTCATAGCCTGCTTTTTTTAAATTGCTGCTGAGAATTTCTGGGAAGCCACAATGTTCAAACTCAACAATGGGTCTTGCAACTCCTTGCCCTTCAACAGCTATGCCCAGCTGCTGTTTTAAACTCTCGATCTGTTCATCCTCAAGGCTTAACAGGAATTCGTTCTCTTCATATGCATAAGCAGCATCAGGGAAGGTGAGCTGAGAGATGGCTTGTTCACTCTTAGTAGGCTTTGAGCTTTCCTCCTCCCCTTTGAATTGTAGAAGGTGCTTGGCTTTACATTCCAAACTACATACATCTTCATCAGTCTTGTCACAGATGTACTCCCCATACCGACCACAGACCACGCATACAGGTTCCCCAGATTGTGGCCAACGCTGAGTTTTACTGAAAGATTTTATGGGTTCTTCTGTATTACAAGAGTCCTCATTGTTTTCTGACTCTGATTCAGTAAGGGCCAGAGTTGAATCTAAAAATATCTGTGGCACACTGTGTCCTTCTATTGATTTCAGTGAATCAGTCTCAACATTTGCTGCATTTATGATGTCAGAACTAGAATCTCCAAGTTCTGTAGGCTTTTCAGATGCAGATTCATTTTGGGAAGATTTGGATTTTTTTGCGACACAACACTCCTCATCAACAGCATTCCTCTTGACTTTGAGAGATCTGGGAACAAACATTCTTCAACAACCTATCATGACAATATACAATCATTAGAACTGGCAATCTTCTGACACATTAACATTTCCATATGATTCAGCAAGGGCAACAGGAAACTCAAAGAATAGATTATTCTCCATTTGTACAGGAGCAAGTTTATTTGAATTGGAATCATATAAGCTGTGGTTAGAGTCTATTAATTTTATCATGTGGAAGAGTTATTTAAACCTGGAATTCATGGATCGTTTTACAGCATTTAAATAAGATAACTAAATAAGTTAGAAAAGTAGCATAGTAGTGAGTTAATCTTGCAAGTAAAACCCATTACCTTTTAAGACAGGGGTGTCAAACTGGTGACCTGCGGGCCGGATGCGTCACGCACAGACCATGCCCACCCCAGCTCCATGAAGGCAAAAAACATCACAATGTCACATGATATCAACGCGACACAGTAAGTTTGACACCTGTTTTCTAAGAAATGGGGTTTTTTTTAATCAAATCCATCCATAAATATTTTTCTGATAATGGAAACAATGAGCATAGCTTTAGATTGATTTTCTCTTTTATTTATGGAGCTATGAAGGGCTGCAATGGCTCCAGTTTCAACAGGGAGAAATAAAATATCTGGGAATTTTGTTGGAACAGCTATTTAACTAGCAGAGACTGAGGTAATAGGAAAGAACATTGTGTCATTAAATACAAAGCATCCTCCATTGCTTTGTAGACAATGCTCACAGTTCAGTATTTGTTTAAAAGACTGAGGCAAACATTTATTTCTAAATTAATAATATAATCTCTGTCTCAGAATCTAAAATTAGCAAACTGTTTCTTAAAGCAACTCAGTACTGTACCAAATCAGTAATATATTGTTCTTCAAATACAAAGCACCCATTGCTTAGAAGCAATACAGTTATAACCCAAGGTCATTTTCATTGAAAATAAAATAATATTTTGTATCAATGGCAAGTAAAACTGAGGCCCCACTCATTTTCTTTTCCAGCTCCAAGCCTCACTATGGTATTTCCTCCATTCCCCGTATTACATGCATCAAAAAGTTATCCTGAATTATACATTATCTTAATGTCAGTTTATCCCCACTGAGCCTCTGAAATAGGATTTACAAGTTGAGTGACTAAATCAGCACATCCTCACGTTAACCCAAATGTTCTCTTCTGCTTCACTGCCTGTTTCTTTCTATGAAATTAAAAAAAGAAAATCCCAAATGTTCACACAGGCTGACCTTTTCCAGCCTTTCTTTATTATGTGTCCTCTGGAATAAATGAACCATGATGTTTGTTAAAACTAGATGTTGCTAATCTCATGTTTTCAGATGGAGAGAAGAACGGTTGTCTGCACCTTTAACTTTCTCCTTTACTAATATTACTTGATAACAGTTGTTTTTAAACAGATTACGAGTAGCAGTTAATATCTCCCTTATAATTCCTATAAAGATGGTTCCATGAAAAATGAGGAAATAACTAGCATTAAAATCATAAAGGCTAAAACGACTTCTAAATAAGACCCACTACTTCATCAATTAATCAACTTTATCACAGTTATCATAGGACATGAATTTTGATTTACAGTATTTATAAAATAACACTGCTGAGGAAAAAGAAAAAAGGCTGTCTTCGTGCACCTTACACGTATACAATATATGCTGTTCTGAATTTAAAACAGGGTGGGCCTTAATTTTCATTCTTATTTTAATCCAATCTAAGGTCCATTTATCGGAGCCAGGTTCGTGGACCAAGAGGGTTTAAAACTAACTATAAAATGAAATTAAATGTGTTGAAAAGAAATGTCTTAAATTGAGACAGAGAGAGAGAGAGAGGGAGATTCTAAAAATAATAAAAATCAGCGGAACCATATTCTGTGCATCGCAGGTCAATGTATTAATCAAAAATGTAATGTGTAATTAGAGAGCCACACACAGATCGGGGTCAAAGCAACAAGAAACGGCAAAGTAGTCATGCCATAATAGCAACAGCATTTAGACTAGACACAAGAGCAGTTTTTTCCCCGAACGCCATCACTCTGCTAAACAAATAATTCCCTCAACACTGTCAAACTATTCACTAAGGCTGCATTACTATTTACCTTCTCATCGTTCCTATCACCCATCTCCTCCCACTTATGACTGTACGACTGTAACCTTGTTGCTGGTATCCTTAAGATTTATATTGACTGTTTCCCTGTGACTATCATGAAGGTGTTGTACCTTATGATTCTTGACCGATGTATCTTTTCTTTTATGTACACTGAAAGCGTATGCACCAAGACAAATTCCTTGTGTGTCCAATAAAAAATTCTATTCTATTCTACTTATATACCGCTTCATAGTGCTTTGCAACACTCTAAGCGGTTTACAGAGACCCCCAACAATCTGGGTCCTCATTTTCGGAAGGATGGAAGGCTGAGTCAACCTTGAACTAGGCTAAGCAACTAGGCTAAGAGATTTAGTTTTAATTTTAAAATAACTCCCAATTTTAACAGATCAAAAAGCGCTGCCAACTTACTGCAAATCAGCCCATAGACCTGTCATCAATATATCTCAAGCGATTCTTCCACCGGATCCGATACTCTCTCTAGGGAAAATCTCCGCAGAGATACACAAAGCGACCCAAAAGGCTGAAGCGGCGGTCTAATGCAAAAGGCAGCATGCAAGCAAAGGGGATTTGGGGGGGGGGGAAGCATTTGCAACAGCAGCGACCGACGCACCTGGTTCCCCGTGGAAAGCGATTCAGGCTTCCTTAATCATCCTACCACAAAGTCCGTCCTCCAGAGTACAGGAGACGGAGATCGCTACGCTTCCTTGCAACACTTTAACTTGCCGCTCTAGCCGTCGACAACGGCGCCTCGGATTCTCCGAGGTAGGAAAAAAAGAGGCTGGTCTTTCGCGCCCTTCATTTCCGGTTCCTCTTGGAAACACGTGCTCCGTCTTGAGCAACCGCCGGGGCTTTGCAGACAACGTCTGCATAAAGATGCGAACGCGTCTTTTTAACCAGGCAAGGTTTCCTTGGAAGCCCCCGGTGCAAACCAAAGGCGCGTTTTGTTCTTTGCAAAAGCCTGCTTGATTTCCTGCTTTTCCGAAGGGGCTGGTGCTGCATGAAATTGAAAGACCGCTGGAGGGCAGCAGAAGATCAAAGTTTACTATATGTTGCTGCTCCATCTAGTGGTCGTTTGAAAGTTTTGCAACCCAGGCATAATATTCCTAACAAAGCGGTTGTCGGCTCGGATCACCCCTTTCATGAGCGTTTCATTTTATTACTCATCGTTCCCCACCACAACGTGACATTTAGCTTTCTGTAGTCCCCTAGGGACGCTCAATGGCTCCTTTGTTCTCCCAAATAACAAATTAACAAGAATTGGAAAGGACCTTTTCTAGTCCACGCCCCTGCACAAGCAGGAGACCCTCTTGTCACTGATGCACACAAACAGATTGATTCCCTAAGATAGATTTGAGCGTGCAGTTTAATTTGATCCCTGTATTCCATGTCACTCAACTGTTTATAGAGCCCTGCTTCTTTGATGGGGAAAACAGAAGGAGCATCACTCACTAAATCAGGTAAAATGACAGAGATGTACATATGTGGAAGACAGAGACTTCAAACAGCGGGAGAAGAAAGTAGCAAATTTTGAAGATTTTTTTCCCTATCCCAAACAGAAAAAAATGCAAAGTATATATTGCAATTGGTCTAAATGGATCAAGCTGACTAATTTGGTTTTAAAATCGATTGGTCTTTCCAGTCAATGGGTTGGTTCAAAGCTGTGCCACTAAAATCAGTGAGATCTGTTAGATTCAGTCCTGTTGATTTCAAGGGGACAATCTATTTCAAAGTCTCTCCTAACCACCTAACCAAAGTCTGCCTCCAACCACTGAGTTTAGAAAGCAAGCGGCCGACTATTAAGTTGCTCAACAGTGCTGAAGTACTTAGTTGAGCTTCTATAACAAGAGGCAAGCCACATCCAAAGATCTATGGCTTCCGTGCAAAAAATGACAAGCAGGAAACTTTAGTGATTGGTTTGGTAGCTTCCTAGAGACATTTGTGTGGCCTGAGTGTGGGTCACAAAGGTGGAGGAGCAGGTGTCCTTTGATAGGAAGATAAGAGAGACTGGCTATCTCCTTGGGCTTTATGACTTCATCCCTGCAGGCTAAAGTGTCAGTTACTGTCAGTTAGCAGTTATCAGAGTGAAGATACCTTCCTGGAGGTCAGCTGCTCTTCAGCGGGGCTCCTGGAAGCTTCCCTCCTTTTGTAGCCAACTCTCAGAGGGGTAAGTGAGTTAGGCTTAAAGAAGGGGTGAGGGTTAGGAGACGGGTGAGAGTAAGAGTGAAAGGGGGGAGGGACAGGCTAAGAGGGAGAGTGAGGTTGAGGGTCAGGATCAGGGAAAGGGGGACAGGAAGGATAATAGGTATGGGGAATGGGAGAAAGAAAAGGTAAAAAGGCAGGAGAGGAGCAGAGAAGGGGGAAAGGGAGATGGGGAAGGGATAGAGGGAAGGAGATAAAGAAGGGAAAGGGGAGAGGGATGAAAAAGTGGAGTGGACCCAGTAGGAGAGGGGAGGGAAGGGGGGCAGGACAGGTAGAGAAGAAAGAGTAGTCATAAATAGGCAGGGTGTTTTTTAATGCCTTTATGACTTCATCCATGCAGGCTATTATCAGAGGTAAGGGAGAGGGAGGGGTGGGATGGGGAGGAGAGGTAGAGGTGGGATGGAGAGGAGAGGGGAGGGGAAGAGGGAAGAGGAAGGGGTGGGGGATGAAGAGGTAGCGTGATCAAGGAGAAGTAGCAAGTGAGGGGAGGAGACGGAGGAAAACAGGTAGGAACAAGGAGGGGGGAATTATACTGTGTTTAAGACTTCATCCATGCAGGGTTATTATCAGAGGTAAGGGAGAGGTAGGGGAGTGGGTTAAGAGAGGAATAGGGATGAGAGGGGTAGAGGCAGGAAGGGCAGGGGATAGGAAGGAGAAAAGAGGGGGACAAAGAGATACAGTGGGCCAGGGAGAAGATCAAGGGAAGAGAGGGGGAGTGGGATGGGACAGGGAGGAGAAGGTTGGTAGACACACATCGATGGGGGGGATTTTAATGTTTTCATGACTTCATCCATGCAGGTTATCAGAGGGAAAGAAGAGGGAGGATGAGGGAAATGAGAGGGAGGGGGATAGGTAGGAGGAAAGGGAAGGGGACAAAGAGATGGAGTAGGACAAGGAGGAAATACATCTCTCCTGCAAATCTTGAGAGTTTTGCAAAACTTTTTAATAACTTGTTTTTTTTAAAAAATTATGCCACTTGGGCGATATAAGTATTCAGATTCAGGATAAAATGGGAATCTGGACACCATAAAGACCATTCAGTTTATTACTGCATAAGAATGAACTGTGGTCTATTGACTTCTATGTGTCCTATCTCAACATAGAAACTGTCTTACCTGTCTTGTTTTGCTGATCACATGTTCTAAGTGGTTGTTACTATATGTATGTTGTATTTTAGTAAACCCTAATAAACCAGAACTTAGTTCTTGGCAATTGTTCGATTATGTAGTTTTCATGGAACATGCAGAATTGGTTTCCTATTGCCACTTTCTAGGATATTCCAAATTCCCAGTTTTGTCTGTAAGTGGGATTTCTTGATGGAAATTTTAATAACCGATACTAAGCAGATCTGATCGTGTTTGGCTGCTTGTCAACTAGGTGCCGCCCCCCAACTCTAGACTAATATTCCCTACTTAAATTCTATTTTCAAATGAATAGGCAACCTATTTAGAGGGTGCTGTTTTTGATTGCCTAAATGGTAAAAAGGCTATGAAAGTAGAATTTATTCCTGCTACCCTATTTTTAGCAATTGTATCTCAGATCAATCTGTCCTGCTCTCAAGTTTCAGTGCTAAGAGCAGACACTTCCTAGATGTCTCTAAGCCTTTAAAAAACAATTGCAGAATCTCTGAGAATATACAGATTCCTCTTCATTTTTTGCACATTATAAATATATATGATGCCTACATTCAGGCATCCTGAAACTATATTGTTGGAGTGCCCCGTGTTTAGGTTCTGGGGTGACTGCCATGCCTTCCCCCAAAATTAAAAATTGGCAGGCATTTTTGGAACTTCCTTCTCATTCAGTCATTGAATGTCTCCCAGTCCTTTGTGTGCTGCAACCTTCATTCAAGAGCAGTCCAGATAAAGTTATACATACATGATTATTATTTTTCTGCCTATGAATTTTAATGTGTAATAATAATAGAGGGGAGGAACTATATAGAGTAGGATTCTTCAACTTAGAGCTGGTTTCTGTAGAAATCAAATGCTTTTAAATATAATTCTTGCTGGTCTGGAAAGAAAGCTAGTTATCACCTTATGTGGTTCATGCATGTGGGGAAATAGGCTGGCTGTTGCCTAGGAAACCCACACTTCTTGTAATGAGTCAGTTAAAGGTGCTATTGCACTCTTTATATTTTTTTAACCATGTTTCTATCTTGGGTTGTTGAACAGCAGCAGCTCTAAACTGTACACCTTCCTCCATCCTCCAGTTTCTTATCTTTAAGAAGCATATGGTCCTAACTTAATTGAAGAATGCCAATAGGCAAAGTTTCCTATATACTAGAAAAGAACAATTAACACACTAACTATAGATATAGCAATATTCTAATTTTAAATACTTTGCATATGTTACACAGTGATGATTGCATGTTGTCACATTTAATGCTTAATGATATTCCCTTAGCTACAATTGTTAATTCAGTCTTCGGAGAATGTCTTTTTCAATGTTATGCCTTTAAATGAAATTACCTAGAATGTTGGAAGTTACATAGGCATTGCTTAGTCTATGATTAAGAGTATCCCTCAAAGTGAATAAATCAAAGTTGGTTGGATTCATATACAAAAATTGACTGGATTCATACGCCTACAGTGTATAATTTTTGCTATTCATTTAATATCTAGTGCAGGGATTGAATCTTTAAATCTATAGATCTATCTGTATGATATAATCTTAAATAGGTTTACTCAAACAATTTCCATTGACTTCAATCGGATTTACTGACTTCCATGTCAATTTACAGTTTTTTTTCCCTCACAATAACAGCCACTTGTCAATAAATACTGACTTCTTTCCTGAAGTCTAATCTTTTATCTAATATGCCTATCTAATTGTCAGAGATTACAATATCATTTCAATGTCAATTTGAATTATAAAAATCAAATGAATCTCAGAAGGTTTTTTTTTCTAGTTCTAGAATGTAGAAATTTGAGGAAATAGCAGGTGCTACTATGTATTTTCATCATGCCTTACTCTTTATGGGATAATGGAAATTCTTAAACAGCTGCAAGAGCCTCTTACCATTCTGATTAAAAAAAAATCTTTAAAGTTAATAACTTTAACCTGGCCTTGAACCTTGAACCTGGCTTTTTGAAGGTCCTACAGACTCTTTCCTTGTTTAATAAAATTTAAATTAAATTTATTTTAGTCACCAATGGTAGAGCAGGTATTACAACTCACTTTCACTTTCTATAACATTCACTTGAGCCTCATACAGCTTGAAAGTTCCTCCATTGATCTGCATCCTTCTTTAGCTGTAGTTTGAAACATGAGAACTGCATGAAGTGGATCAGTCAAGAACTCCCTTTCAGTTAACAAAATATTTATATAAAGGGTTCACATATAAGGAGCAAGGCTTGGCCTGTGACTCCAGTTCCTCCCCTGTTTTTCCAGCTAAGAAAAAATTAAAAGGATTAAAACACATTTTAATAGTGTCTTTTGATTAAGAATTCTTTTCTCTTAATCCTGAATGTAAATATATTCAATAGCATGCTCCAAACCCTGTTCTACTTTGTGCTAGATTGCAGCCCTGTTCAGTGCGCAGTATCCCTGATGTCCTTCCCTTCCCCTTTCCTTTCTAAGCTTTATTTCTTTTTCTCTCTTGCTAATGCTTAGGATTTGCCCAATTTGGGCAAATTGCAAATACCAATTTTACTTCCCAAAACTAGAATTGAAAATTTTATTTTTTTTAAAAAAAAGATATGTGGGTTGGGAGGTAAAATACCATATTTTCCGGCGTATAAGACGACTGGGCATATAAGACAACCCCCGACTTTTCCTGTTAAAATATAGGGTTTGGGCTATACTCGCCGTATAAGACTACCCCTCTTCCAACACACACCAAATAAAAATTAAAAAACATCAACTGGCTCACCCACAATGTAAAAGCAGCTGTGCTAGACCCAAAATGACCCCTGCAACAAGCAGGAACCTCACACAGCCACAAAAAGCCCAAAAAAACAACTTTCACACTTTACACACACAAAATTCCACATACAGCTTTGTGAGATTTTGTGTCTTTGTGTAGTTAGAGTGAAACACTACAGAAACACACTAAATCTCAGAAAGCTGCACAAATATTATTTTATTTTTATTTTTATTTTTATATGAAAGCTAAATTTAAAACTTCCTAAACTTTAAATGGCTAGGTCTAAAAAAGAACAACTAAAAAAAAACCCAATTAACTATTTTTTTTAAAGCTCCCAAAGGGGAAAAAACCTTACCCAATAGAACAGGGGTCTCCAACCTTGGCAACTTTAAGACTTGTAGACTTCAACTCCCAGAATTCCTCAGCCAGCTTTGTTTTGCTGGCTGAGGAATTCTGGGAGTTCGTCCACAACTCCCTGCCTGCTTGATTGCCTGCTTGATTGGAAACAAGATTTTCATGTGTTAAAAAGTTGTCTTATACACCGGAAAATACGGTAGAACTTTTGAAAATGATATTTAGCCCAGTTTAAACATTAGGATAAACATCACTAATTTTGAAAAAGGAAGCATACAGAGGTCAAGGACATAGAAACAATAGGAAAACTCACTCACTACATAATTAGAATTAGAATTCTTTATAGGCCAAGTGTGATTAGACACGCAAGGAATTTGTCTCCAGTGCATAAGCTCTCAGTGTATATACACCAACAGTGATAGATCATTATCAGAGTTACTGTAAAAATACACTCATCATAAAACATTAGATACAACACTTAGTGATAGTCATGGATGTTAAATAAGCAAACAACATAAATCATACTGGCCTGGCCGGCTGTGGCTGAGCCAGGAGCATGCGCACGCGCAGGGAGACCCTCCTCAAGCAAGCGCCGAAGCTCAGGAAAGGTGCGCGCAGGATGGGCAGCGGCTTGCTTAAGGAGAGTCTT